ATTTTCGTGCCTAGTTACATGGGATTTAGAGTTAAGAAATGAGAATTGAAGTTAAAATTGCATTAACAGGATTTAAAAGTTTTTAATTTGGATGTTTACCTCATATGGGGAAGCTTTTTTGTAATTATATACAAAGCTGAGGTTATAGATATTTTCATTTAGGGAAAACCATCATTCTATTAGCAGATATTAATTTGCCCTTCTGAGAATAATTGTCTTAGATAGACTGACTTATAAATCAAGGAGATGACCTTTTAAGGAGTTATTTTTTCTTAAATTTATCCCTTTACTAATAGTATAAGTATTTGTAGGTAAGGAATTATAGTTCAATAATAAATTTAGTGCTCTCTAAAAAAGAGAGAAAAGTGTAAACTGTCAATACCTTTCAATAGTACTAATTATTAAAGTGTAAGATGTAGTTTAAGTTGTTGAGTTTATTTTCTAATAGTAGTATCTCGTGCCAACGACTGATACTATTTCACGTGGTCCTATAATGACCAAGAAGATGCAATTATAAGGTTACAGATGTTATGTGTAGTCAAAACCAGATTACTGCTAAAGATAGCCAGTGGTAAAGGAATCATGATAATTATTTAAACTTTTTGGAAACGTGCTCTTATTCATGGATAAAGTAACCAATGTGGAATAATATTGTTTGAGGGCAGAATATAAATACATTTAAAAGTAGAAAGGAACCATATAGCTTAGTTAAAGATGGGAAAACAGGAAAATAACTATGTCAAATAGTTAAATAAATGTGGGATATTTCATGGGGAAAAAAGATGCATTTAATATTTTTAAAGTTTTTTTCAAATAGTTGGGGACTTACCAAAGAGAAAATGATAAATGACTATTAAATAAGAAAAAAGTAACTCAGACGAAATTGCAAAAGTACTTTTAAATGTCTGGTTTGTAATAGAGTTTAAAATCTTGGCGATAGGAAATGGATTGCCACATATCTCTGTGCATTCTCTATCCTTGGTGACAAACGATAAAATGAGGAAGGAGGTAGAAGAGAAAAAATCCTTACATTTCTTCCAGACCTTTGAGTTCACCATGAATTAAATATTTTACATATTTTGCAATAGTTAGCTTTCAATCGTGAGTGCTAACAGCCTCCATTGCTTTATTTATGCTTTGATTTTTTGTGATTTTTATACATTAAAATTATATTCATCTGAAGCTAGGCAGGATGATTATAGGTTATATTGGTTATTGTGGTTTAAGGTGTAGTAACATGTAGTATATTGAAAATATAGACTAAGTTTCTGAATACTGTTTATTCATTGCCATGGTTCACCCTTAAACAACCATTAAATAAAGTAATAATATCCTGTGTTTAAAATTTAATAAGTGTATTTCTCATGGAAATATTCATTTAATAGAAAAAATATTGAGAATCTTATCAGTGTATCTTTGATTCAACTGGTTTTAAAAGGTGGCTATTCAGGGTATTGCTTTTTCGCCAATAAGACATGAAATTTGAACATGCTATATTCTTAATTTGTATCTTTCTACGAGTACCTACAATTTACACATTTTCTCATATGATGGGTTTAACTTTTGGCTAAATCTTTGAAGAGGATATCTAGACAGAGTGACATGGGAAGCTAAGCAATGAATCAAATAAAAAACCAGTTTGGTCTTAATATGCATACTTTTCAGAACAGCTGTTCAGATACAGTTATCTAGAAAATAGTCTAAAATCTGCATTTCAATTTCAATGTTTAAAGTAATATATTACCGCATCTCAGAAGATATTGAGATTAATGAAATAAGTTCTACTCTGAACTTGAATCAGAGTAACCATGATGCGCAGATTAATGAAGTGGAAGGAGTAGAATTTTGGGAAGTATGACCTTATTATTATCTTTGTAGTTTAGAAAGAGAATGCCTTGCACCTCGTATTTTAACTTTCAATGTTAAGGAATTCAAATAAAATAAATTTAAACCTGAAATTCTACAAATCAAGTTCTCTTTTGAGAGAGATGGGATCCTCTAATAAACAAATAAAGTTTTAAAGAATTTAAAGAATCTAACTGGTTGTACAACAATCTCTAATGAGCTATGACTTTTCAGAGGATATTACGTATAAAATATGTAAGGGCATGTAACCAAAAGCCAGTTTAGAAGGGGCACACACCCCGGAAGACAGTGTGTCAGGAAAGCTAAAGCAAAGAATAAGTAGAGATGTGAAAGTTAAATATAATACTAAGGATATGCAGACCTCTCATTCCTCTCTTCCTCTTTCTCTCTCTCATACACACAGAAATATATATGTGTGTACTCATATACACAGAGAGAGACCTATCTATCTCTATATAGATGTGCATACAGATATATGCAATGATGTAATGATTTGGGAGCATAAAAATAAGATAACACAAAAGATGTTTCTGATGTTTGGGGTAGATAAAAAATTGTTGAGAGCAAGCAAAAAAAAAAAAAAAAGAGCCAGAACTAATCAAATTACATTTTCTTACAGACTTTTTCCTCCTAATGAGAATAATCCTGAAATGGACAGTGAAGAAATTCAGGGCAGTTGAAGTGTAAACATCAAAACTCAAGGTAGATAAAGAGATAAGCTGCCTATTTTCAAGCTTGAACATCATGGTCCAGGTCATTTATAAGCCAGCGCACAGATAACTTTTGCCTGGAATGGAAAAGATACCAGACAACAGGAAGTTGATATTTAAAAAAAAAATAGATTCTGAAACTACAGCTCTGTGAACTTCATGTAGGTTTTGAGCCAAAGTTTTAAAACAACAAAAAGCCTTTCTTTTTTATTTTTCAGAGAAATAGATTTAGATATCTTAAAAAAGAAAGGACCATTAATATTCACAATGGGAACATTACAAACAAATGTTACAAAGTTTGTGTAAGTTTTCTAGATAATAGATAATGACAGAAATAGAATATATCTTGATTCTAGGAAGGTGTTTACATAATTCTATATGACATTCTTCACACAAATTATAAAAATATGGTCTGGATGGCGTTTCTAATGGGTAGTAACGTTCATAATTGTTATTGATCAGGATCAAGTTCTCTGACAGTGTTTTGAAAGGCTATATTCTTTTCCTATACATAACATGGGCAAAAAGAAAGGAGACATATTTTTTGACCAACTAGTTTATGTTATCTCCTTGCCAGCTCTAACAGCCTGCATGGTAAAATTGTTCCAGTTTCACAGATGAGGGAACTGAGCTTCAAATTTCCTCACTTCTGGAAGCTAGTAGTAGTTCCAGAGCTGGGCTTCAAGCTGAGGTCTGCATGACCCCTTCTACTGTATCTCCTATGAGGACAAAAGACACACCTATCAAATTTCTGGTGACATAAAACCGGGACACTATGTGAAGACACTGAATGACAGAATCAAGAGCAGGAAAGGGTAGGATCGTGGGCCAGGGGAAACAAGATGACAGTCTCTTGAAATTATTGTTGAAGAAACCTTCAAAAAGTCAATTGAACATATGCAGATGGCAAATCATGTTTTAGCAGCAGATCATGTAATAAATATAAAGTTTAAAGTGAGCGTAAGGAAGCTCTATTAGTCAGGAGTAGGATGGTGAGAATAAACGCAATCGTGGACTGTGTAGAGAATGACACTGTATTCTTTGCTCGTTAGAGGACATTGAGAGTAGTGTTTTCATTGTTAATCCTGAGGACCATTCCCTTAAAGCCCTATTTTTGATTGAAGTGCCTCATATGGACATCCAGACGTGCAAGTGCTCTCCGTACATACTTTGTATTATAATCTGTAAATGTTTGTTTCATTTATACACCAGTATTGTACAGCACAGTTTTTCTATGAAAGTTTCATAAGAAATTCACAACAAATCCTGATTCAGGAAGAAATGGAATGTTCCAGTCCCACAAATGTAACTGTGTGAGAGAAATAGTTCTACATGACACATTGGCTTCCAAAGTATGCTTTTATATCTGGAAAATACCTATTTTAAAAATTGCAAAATGTTACCGTTTCTTAATGATAATGCAAAAGTGCTTGCATTAACACTTTATATACATATATATGTCCACGCTTGTTACTGCTGCTAAAGTGTGTGTTTCCAAAAATGAATCTTTTCCAAAATTTTATTGTGCTTTTACAAGATGCTTTTCTTATGTCCATAAATGCTGAAAAGGCTCACTTAAGGAGGAGTAGAATTTTAAGTGTAAGTAAGCTTTTCAGTCAGTTTAAAGTATACAAATGGAGACATTATTGAAGGTATATACCATACTCTATGCATGAAACCTATCAGCACCTCATTTTCATAGCAATTAAATAACTCAGTTATTCATGTCACATTATGGCCTTTTCAACGGATTTCACAACAAAGAAAGTTATATATATAAACTTACTGCAAAGATAAATCTCACATAATGCTTAATAACATTGAATGCAATTAAACCTGAGAACTATGTTTTTGAGAAGAACTGGAGCATTATTCAGACTTTTTAAATATAGAAAATACAACACTGAACCATGTAAAGGATGTTTCATCAGATTTCCTTTTTGGAAGAGAAAGGTTATTTGTCCCCCTGTCCCCAAAAGTCACACACTCATATTGGAGGAGTTTCTTTGTCAAAGTCTTTTTCTCAGAGAGCTGACCCAGTCATCCCATAAGGAAAATACAGAGCTATCCTTAGGTGGCTTACCAGCTTACTCAACCTGGTGTCAGTAGTGAAAGCATCAAATGTAAGATGACATGTGACCTCTTTGAATGGCATTTGCATTTGTAGTTCTCCAGCAAACATTCAATTTCACTGTGATCCTTAGCAATGTTTCTTGAAACATTTTCCAGGAATTGCTCTCAATGGCTGGTCTTCAGAAACACTCCCAGAATCTAAGCAGACTCTGTGAAGTTTGCAATCACTTCAAGGAGTCTGCCTACGTCTTGGTGTTATATATCTTTTGTGTGCCTTCTATAGTTGAAATTACAGAAAAATGTTATTTGTAATTTCTGAGATATATATAGAATGCTACGTAACTAGCCAGTTAATAAAAGAGGATGAGAAAAGCCAAGGGAAACAGAATATCCTAAGTGTCTGGCAAATATCCTCATTTCAAGGTAAAGATAATAGTTAAGTGGCAGTGTTCGTCTTTTCTTATAACTTTAAGACTATAGCAACTGGGTGCAAAAGAAATACACAGTAATTATTGTACCAATAAAACAAAAACACTTCCTATTTTTTAAAGTGAGTTTCTAATTTCATTAATTTAGATAAAATGAATCAAATACTTTCCAATATTTTTTGGACTGTAGCATAACAGTGAGTCCTAAGGTTTTAGTTTCAGGTTAGAAGGAAGAAATAAAATTCCTCATTCCTTCTTAGTATCACAGTCTAGCCTTCACACACACAAACACATGCAGACACACTCACAGACATTCATCTATGTAAACATATATTTGAGTCTCTGCATAAACACCTGTGAGAACTCTTACTTTCTTTTCACAACAAACCCCTTCGCCTTTGCTGTGTTTTACAAAATAGGATAACACAAACGCAGAACATTCTGAAAGACCCATATCTTTAAGATGTACTAAGTTGTTCTCAATTGCTTTAAAGGGCACATGATGTAGACACAATTGTCCGGTTCCTTATAGTAAAATTTAGTCAAGTTTGCTTATCATTTGGGTACATATTCCCCAAAAGCATCATTTAGGATACTTTAGGCTTCTTCTAAGAATGATTATATGACTTAGGGAAGAATTATATCAGCTATTTCCAGATCGCATACCTTATTATCTGAGACTCATGTAGTAGAGAACAGAAGGCATAAATTATGCAAGGATCAATCTCCATACAAGGGGAAGAGCATTGTATAGATATCACAGTATCTGATTTCTTATTCTGGCTTTGCTATGAACTATCTCTGGGTGTAGAAAAACCTACTGATTTCTATGTTTCTCACTTTTTTGCCTGTATAAGATGTCCATTTAAATTCCAAAAAAAGTATATGATAGATCACAATGATTTCAGTCATATGAATTTTAATACAAAACATATAAAATCAATGTAAAAAGTTTTCTGCATATACTGAAAATGTTTTTAAGAATGAACTAACTACAGGCCCTCTCTAATTTCTTCTATTAAATGCAGGTACCTAATGTAACCTGAAAATATTGAGCATAATTATTCTTTTTTGCAAAAGGGAAACTAGAAAAAGACTGCTTCCCACAGAAAATTTATTAACAATATGTGCTCAATTAAGTGTTTTTATACAATGAACAATATCCCCCTTCATATAAATAATCTGGGAAGAGATATTTGTTAAGTCATCTTTTTTTCCTTTTCATCACCCCACCTACGCACAAAATTCTCTTGTAAAAACATCACTTCTATGAGGAGATATTCATTGTAGATGTACAGAATTCTATGGAAACCTAAGTTTACATGGAAGAAAACATGGATTATAATTATAGCCAACTGCAGAGTCACAGAGATGCTTAATAAAAGCTTTCTGATGATATAATGAATTATCAATTCTTGAGGAAGTGCACAGAGTTGGCAGCTATTTTTCAAGACTTGCCATCCAACACACTAAATTTTCTCATTTTAAATCTCTCATGCCACCTTTTGGACACTTGGTTGAAATTTTGGAACTCACATGATGATATTAAAAATATAATGAGAGTAGCTATGGACTTCAGAAGTTAAAATAAATACATGTACATCAGAGTATTTAAAAAATGTGTTGACAATGTGCAAATAAAACTGCTGAGATAATTGACTTTTCTTTTAAAATACAAGGGCACAATATTTTAAAATTATGTAGCGTGTTACTTCTTGGATCAAAACTGCCTGTCGTGGGTTGAATGGTTTCCTCCAAAAATTCATATCAGGTATATTTCACAATCCATTGCTTTCCCTCCAAAAGACAAAGGTAGCAAAAGAGGAAGGTAGCAAAACAGGAAACAGGAAGACCTGTTTCAGAATGGATAGAATGAGTTAATTGGCTAAAAAGTCCAAATGCTAATACTCCTAATAATCAGCCATTCCTTTTGTGTTTTGGTAACATATATCCTTATACAATGTATATCAAATGGAATTTTTTGATTCACCTCTGACATTTCAAAGTTCCCATTTTTGAAATCCCCTAATCTTACATAAGTAACACATTGTCTATTTTGTTTCAATTGTATGAGATTTTCCCCAACGTCTAGGGCTCCATGATGTAAAATGTCATTTTGCCGATCTTCTGTTCCAGTATTCACTTTAATTTTTTTAATTAAAATTGGATTTTCAAATACAATCACAAAGACATCTCCTGTTGAAGGTGGTTTCCCCCAGAAGTACTCATCAACACTACTATAAGCCTTGCTTGCTTCATAATTTTCGAAAACATTCATGTTGGTATATAGACTTGCTGGAGGGTTATCAGGGATGTCAAATGACTCTTCTTCAAAATCGTCATCCTTTAGCTTATTCTCAGTTCCTTTATATGATGAATAATAACCCATGTGCTGAAAGAGAGATGGCTTAAAGCGGATAACATTTTTCTGAGCCAACAGACCCCGGAAGTGAGTCAAAAGCCAATCACAAGGCATTTCTTGATAAAACATTAATAAAAAGTGTGCCAAACGTGGGAGATCATGAGAGTGATAAAGTTTTCCAATGTAGCCAAGCTTAGAGAACTCAAGAGTTACCCAGTAAGTTCCTTCGAGGGATGTAATGACTTTTTTGATGGCAGTTAAGAAATTTTTTGAACATCGAACATCATCTTCAAGCATTACATAATAGTCTGACGTGTTGGCACAAAAATTAAGGAGAAAAGCGTAATCTACATTTTGCTTAGAACGAAATCTGACTCTGTCTTCTGGATCATTGTAATTTCTTTTAAGGCCATCCAGGGCTGGGTAATATTCCTCTGGAGCATGTATAACTATTAATCTTCCTGCAATAATATGGTGAGCAAATTTCTGTGTAATATCCTGGACCATGACCTCACGCCAGGATGAATTAAAGTCTGCTAGATGAACCACAACTGAAATTTCCTTCAGCTCTTCGTAGCTGGATTGCTCAAAAATGGACTTGATTGTCTCAAGTAAATAGTTTCCTTTTCTTCGTTTTACTGATGAAAGTCCAATTGTAAGAAACCCTGAGCAAAAGAATTCAGAAGGAAGAAAAATTAAATATGAAATAGGTTTTGAATACCCTAAGAAGAAAAAAGTTATTTTCCCCTTAGGCCAGCTACTGTATTAAGTAAATCTAGTGAATGATTATGTATAGGATGTTTTGTGATTAAAGTATTATGCTAAATATATAAAGGCTATAGTACTTTATACATAGTTGATATCTTCCCTGGAAAAAGTTGCATCGTAAGCACAATGATGTATGAGACCTTTTACTGTAAACAGCTGTTTATGAAATAAAATATATGGTTTAAGTGTTCAACAGCTAAATGTTCTTAAATATGCCCATTAGGAAAGATAGATAGATGTTTAGATAATATCCATGCTATTAAAAAGATCCTGTAAAAGGAGAAAGTGATTTACAATTAATGATGACAAAATAAATTGGGGTAACTTATTCTCTTCGTCATCCTTAGATTTTCCGTAGAAAACATGTCATATATTTTCATTTTTTGATCACTCTTATTATGTCAAATTACAGAAGAATTCATAGGTGCACTTCACAATTTTATTTTTAAATTTATCTAGTATGTTAATTTGAAAGCAAACAATGTCATAAGCTATTTTTGTAAAAATTGCATTATTAGTCAATGGAAGGAACATTGTTCCAAGACATTAATATCACTGTTTTCTTTATTTCAAAAATATATTTTATAGTAGTTTTGTCTGAAGAAATTTTTATCAGATACTTAAAATCTGAAGTTAGAACTTGAACATTTTTAGGGAATAAAATAAAACCCTGTGAAATGACAGTTCACCTCCAAGAAGCATAGACGTCTTTCTAATGAAATAGTCTCACTTTTGAAAGCCCTCACTCTCACCATGACTCAGAACAAAATACAATTTCGGAATCATCATTTGGAAAATAGGAAAATGTTTATACTCACCAAGATCACTGTTTTAATACAGACACCTACACGATGTGATTTCTGCAATACTAAATTATCCCTTTCCAAGAAAAACCATTCTTACTAGTCTGTCAGAAAGGTAGAGATTTACGCATTTTGTTTATATACCTGGGCCTACAACCCTGACTTCTACTGAAAAACTAATAGGTTATCTGGTACGACTGCATTCAAGCCACCAGTCTCATTAATGCTCAGTCATAGCCAATACTTAACAGAGTACTTTCTATGTGAATGGCAGGTGCCTATGCATTTTACCTGGAAAATTGCATCTTGGATATTAATAAGAGTCTTTTGGGGTAGCTTTTGACTTATTTCTGCTTCATAAATGAGGAAACTAAGCCACAGTGAAATGAGGTATATTGTGCAAAATGTAACACCTACTTCAGAGTGTGGTGCCAAGATTCAAATGGCCCTGCTGTCATTCTCTCTTCTATACTGTCTCTTTAGTATAATGCTGTTGGCATATGTGCCCTGACACATTTGTAAACTTAGCGTGGAAAGGAGAAATTAGTAATGTTTGGATAAAGGTGGTGTCAACCAAACCTATTAAAAAATTCATAATATCACTGTATTTCATTGATTCAAAGGTTCCTATTTTTCACACAGAAACACTTTAAAATCAGGTTGCATATTACAATTGACGGCATCTTACAATTAAAGCTGATAATGCTTACACTTTCTTAGTGACACATTAATTAGATCATGGTACTTTCTATAATCTACGGCATCTTGAAATCCAAGAAACGTAGTGCGTTACTTCTTGGATCAAAACTGCCTGTCGTGGGTTGAATGGTTTCCTCCAAAAATTAATATCCACCAGGAACTGCAGAAAGTGACATCATTTCAAAATAGAGTCTTTGCAGATGTAATTAATTAAGGATCTCGAGATGAAGTCACGTTGGGTTTAGAGTAGTTCCTAAATTCAATGACTGGCATCCTTATAAGAGGAGAGGATACGGAGAGGCAGAGGGTCTAGGAAGACCACGTGAACGCGGCAGGCGGTGCAGTTATCCCGCCACGAGCCAAGGAGTGCCAAGGGCCACGAGCAGTGGAACACACAGGAAGGACACGCCCTTGGGACTTTCAGAGCAAGTGTGGTGCTTCCAGTATCTCGGTTTTGAACTTCTTACCTCCAGAAACAGGACAGAATGAATCTCTGTTGTTTTAAACGATCCATTTTTTTTATAATTTGCTATAACACCTTGGGAAGCTAATACAATGACTTTCATGACTTCAAAACTGGCGGCAAGTCATAAACATCAAACCACTGGAGTTTAAACTGTATTTGTGTGGGAATGTTTATGTTTAAAAGTTAACTTTTAATGTTTTTAAGAAAATTGATTTTTCCTAGTCTCTCTACATGATTCTGCTGCAAGCTGTTAAAAAGTTCCTATTACATAGGCATTAGAAATTGTTATTAAGGAAGTGGATGGGCGAGTAATTGCAATTTGTGAAGATACTGAAATATTTCCCAAAGAATATATTAGTAAAGCCCATAAAGTTTTACTACAATACAAATGAAAAAAAAGTCATTAATTTAAAACAAAATATTTTATGTATTCTTGATTTAGAAGTGTAAGGATACTTACGTTTTCTTTGTAAAGGCGTGGCTGCTAGGTAGCGATAGGTGACATTGATAGCACCTGAGAAATTAGATAAATCTTTGAACGTATGCACATAGCGTTCTGAATTCAGCTGGTGTGTGGGTGTTTCCCTTATAAACTGTTTGTCTCCTTCCTGAATGCCAAGAAGGAAACAGAGAAAAATAAATCATGTATGTTCAAGGATTAAAGTTTCTCCTTACACAATGAATAGATGAATCTTGTATATAATACGGGTATAGCGTAAACCTAAATGACTGGCTGTAGGTCAGCATCTCTGAATTCCTACCTAGCGTCTCTTCTTCAGGCTCTTTCTACTCCACTCCAGTCTTCATATTACTCTTTCATTTGCCTTTTTGAAGCATACATTAATAGTGACATTCTCCTGATAAAAAACTCTACAAGAAAACTCCCACTGCCTTCATGTTCAATTACAGATTTTGGTTATCTAATCGCCATTTGATTAAGCCTTTATTGTTTACACATTATTAGCAAAATGATGACTTGCTTGGTTTTTGTATATGGCTTAAGTCATTGGTAGAATCTGGTGGGGGCAATCTAATTAGAAAGAAATGTTTCTTTTTTGGCAAGGTGTCTACTGTACTGACTGATGTTATGTGGATCTATTTCTGCTGTTCAGTATAAAATGACAAGTCAGGCATGTGCAATCCATTAAAACTATAGAGAAAATGGATACATTAAATATATTTGGTCCTCATATTGCTTGGCTGGTCAATACAACTTTAAACCCCTTTTGTAAACCATTAGAGAGGAATCAAATACAGATTTTACCTCAGTTATAATATTCTCTACTTTGCATCAAATTCAAATGTCACTGGAAAAGTTGACTAAAATTTTTAAAATCTATGGACAGACTGGAATTGCCTTAGAATAAAAATTAAGAATAGTGTACTCTGACAGAGGCAAGCCTTCAATCTGACACTTCCTAATTTAAGATTCATTCTGAATATCTTTTCTGTATATTCAATTATGTTTATGAACCTATATTAGATTTTTAATACTGTATTTCTACATAGTTTATATTGCCTTGATAATCTGAGTAAAGGAAAAACATTTTCTCCATAACTTATGATGTATTTGCCATCTGGAAATTATAAACTTGCAAAATACATGAAATTAAACTTTGGGTTCTAGATTTATAAATATACTAATTAAATATCCATTGAATTCTGATTAATTTCTTTACACATAAATATTTTCATTTTTGTTTTTCTGAAACTTAAAAACATTATTGACTTTTAAAAAAGAATTTAGGATTGTCAAAATAGCTAGGGACTCAGTTTAGCATCAAGTACAGTAAAGTAATGGTGCTCATTATCAAAAAGGTCTCAAAGAAATAACTATAAAAAACACAGCGGTCACAATACGGAATTCATTTTACCATTCTGTTCTTACATAATGTCACATTCTGAAGGAAGTTACAGGATACTGAATATGTCATTAAGAATTTTACCTTGAACACATAAATATCTAGACCTTTGCTGTGATAAGATTGAGTGCATTCATCGTGATTGAAGGACATGACATAACAGAACATAAAATGAAATGGAATGTATATGAAAGCACTGTATTAACTTCTCATGAACAAGCCTCTTTATACTTTCCAGCATAAATAAATGATGCAACTTTCACCTGAGTCAGCCTTGTTGGTTGCTTTCCAGACGTATCTACCTGAACAGCCAGGCTCTCCCCAGACACCTTCTTTCTGTAGCTACTCTGATGTGATGTATTTCTCAGTAATAAGACAAAGCTTTATGACAGCCATTCTCTGGATGGGAATGCAATTCAATAGACTAGCTGCAGAATAAATATATACCCTAGTGGCTACTTTGAAGATGCTCACAGCTGAGAGGCTACGTTGATTGGGAGTACAGCGTCTCTTCTACCTAGTTCGTCCCGTAATAATATTTGTCTCTTACATTGAGCTTGGCTTCCTTTCCCACCAGAAGGTGCATCTGTCCTTAATATGTAAGCAATACCTTAAACTGTTATATGCCCAGAATTCCATACCACAAATGGATTTTCCAGCAAAAAGAGCAGAATAAGATGTGCTACGTAACTCCAGAGACCTTACTAATTGTTTATCTGATTTCTCTGAATTATAACTACTATTTTCCCCTTAAATGAGGGAAACAGAGACTTACTAATGTCTCTGCTTATATACATATTGGCATTCTGTGTTCAAGAAAGAAAAGTCAGATAATCTTATGGAAAATGAAATAAATATGGATAAAAGGGTAAAAAAGGGAACAGTATTAAAAAGAAACTGCAATGTGGGGGGCAGTTTTCTATGGACAATAAACATTTTTAGAACAATTTTAACACAATTTTACATTAATGATTTAAAGAATGTCTTAAATCTTTGTATATAGTAAGCCTTGGGATAAAATTTGGTTCAAAATGCAATTAAGGTAGAAAACATACCTAGTTAATAGTGAAAAATGAAGCTAACAAAAATATTATTAATTTTCAGTAAAGGAGGTTGCTTGTATTTAGCAATCATTTTAACTTATTTTTCTAAATTAATGTATGTACTTAAAACTAATTTCAATTTTTAAAGCCAAGAACTAATCTTTTTTCTGTATTTGGACTGATTTTCAAATTTGACTAGACATATGCCTAATATAGCCAGAGAAAATTTCATTGAGAAATTACTCTTTAGTAAGAGCTGCTTCATTAAATCACACCTTTCACATTAGGTGGCCAGGACTGATACTTAGATAGGAATGTGAAAAATTCACAAGATAGGTTAATAATATTTAATCTTCTTGGGATATAGCCTCTATTATTTCGTACACATTTTATAGTGAATTTGAAGAGGTTCTATTCCAAATGATACAAGGATGTTTGTCACATACAATGGTTTTGTCTCTTTAAAATGAAACACTGAAATTGCACGTAAAAGTGCCTTGTAAGTGCAGCAAGCACTCTGCCAGTCCCCTGCGCTTGATTCACAAGGTGTGGCTTACTCCTACGAGCAAACACAGATGTAAGAAATAAATTTTTATTACAAAATCAAATCATCGATCCAAAGCTCCTCTAGTCAATTTATGATCTTTAATTCTAGCAAGAAAAGAAAATAGCCAGATCACACGGGCCTTGTTCTATTTTCCTAAAATCTCAAAAGCCTAATACCCAGGTTTAAAAAAAGTCCAAAATGCATGTCATTACGAAGATTCTCTAGTTTCCTATGTTTACTCAAATCATGTCTATTCAAAGTGTATTATCTGTGGTGATTTCAGCCATTGTGAATTTTCTACAGATGGTAGAATGACGGGTCCACAAGATTAAAACAGACACTTGAAGGTAAAAAGGCCCAGGCAGAGTCAAGATCTAGGCAACTGGCAGAATTTCACTGTCAAAGAACAATGTTAAAGGAAGCGAGATGTTTTACTGCAGACCTCCCAAGGATCTGTACTAAGATCATAGGGTTGGCTCGTAAGATATAGAATAGTGTATGGCAAATAGTCCGAAGTTAACAAATCATGTTCAGTTAATGAAAGAAAACATTTTATTGGGAAATGCTCTTTGTGGCTATTGTCAGATTTTCTCTTGTGAAGATACTAGTCAAAACTTTCAGCCTGTTGGAAAGTGATTTTCAATCCTCTGTGTGTCCAGTGGTTTTCATTTTATGAAATATGTGAATAAGAATAAGAACATAAAGGAGCTTTCTAGATATCACAAGCTCAATTCAGACAGAAAAAAATGAATAAGCAGTCATGTCCACTATGTTACTCTCATCAGACATGAAATTATGTATAACTATAACAACAATAAATAGTAGAACAAATTCAGTTCTCACAATCCGCCAGGATAAGTCCTTTTGTATATTTCCGTAATTCACATTCATATATTATGTACTAATTTTATCTTGTTTTAACTGCTGAACAGTTTTTACATCATTAGCTTTAGTTCTTGAGATTCTAAATTACTTCTCAGTGAATATAAATACATAACATGGTGTGCATTTAGGGCTATTCAAAATCACAAGGTGCACACATTGTAATAAAATATGACTTCTTGAGAAAATAGCAAAATTAGTATCAGTAATTAGACAATGGGAATTTAAAATTTCTAATGATAATATTAAAAAAGTAGAGAAAGTAAGGACAAAACCTTAAAGCTAATTTTGTGTATTATATATGTTCTTCAAATTCCATCTCAAAAGTTATAATGGTTTTACAGAATATTAATTGAGTATAGTGATGATAACTTAGTTGTAACCAGATGTACATATCTGAACAGCTGTATGCAGCATTAAAGAAAACACTGCGACATAAATTAAAACAATTGTATGTTGGTAATATATAATTAACATAAAAAGTGTCTAGACAAAAAATCTACATGTTATAATATTGCTCACACTAAGGCGATTGCAGCAGCCTTAGATTAAGTTAGATTACAATTGGCTAAATCTATTTTGATTAAGAATTTATTTGAAAAAACAACAAAATTTCAACTGCAAAACTTACCAAAACATAGCTGTCTTCAATGAACAAGTTCATAAAAAGAAGGAAAATGACAAGAACTCCCAAGAATGACACTGTAGAACGTTTTCGCAGGCATCTCATTTTATCCAGTATTTCAAAAATATGCTTCATTTGATGAAATTTAAACATTCTCTCCTGTGGACAAGAGGTACAGAATTCCTAACAGTTAATTTTGGGTGTCAGTGTTTCTTCATCAGTGACGTATCAAAAGTCAGGTATTTATAAAAATCTTACCCTTTCAACATTTGAAGGAAACTTGTTTCCAATTTTACCCTGAAGGTTGGCTTTGACTATGAATGTATTAATATAAGGTCAGTGAAGTGATTTATATTGATGTGAAGTAAATAAAAATGAAAAGCAAGTGTCACAATTATTTCTGAACAAATGAACAGGGTAGCAGTAATGTAAGAAAGTATAGTCCTTTGATGAGAAACAGAAAAAAATAAAATAAAAGAGAAAGAGAAAACATTAAGGTGACATCTACTTCCCCATATTATAATGCCATAAAAAAGGAAGAAACCAGAAGTAAGATCCTAATATTAATCCCAGAGTAGGTGCACTGAACAAAAATTCCCGGAAGGCAATCTGGTGCCATGGTTTGGGGGCTGAGTCCAAACGTATATTTGAGAACTGAGTTACAATTGTTGTGTTTACTTTTCTAATAATTCTTGTCACATAAGAGTAAATCCTGCAGTGGCATATCCATATTGCTTTGCATGACCTGCTAGCTAGAACTTAGGCTGTTTATTAATAATTCATGGACTGCAAAAGGCCAAAAGAAAGTCAGCAAGATTAGTGGAGACTTTTTTTTTTTTTTCCCATTTCATGCCTCTACATTTTGGGATATCTTCCACGATTCATTTAGCTTACTGATTGTTTTTAGAAAGCATAAACATTTCTGGAATGATCAAAGACTAGTTGAATCACTATTTGTCTAAAATCAAGTGTAGTCTGGGAATTGTGTCACATTGAGTTGTGTGCCGGGTCACCCTGGGTTCAGCTTTAGGTTGAAGTATTTGTGTGCATATAGAAGTTCAGGAAGTGATAAAGGTCTGTACATCAAACCCTTAAACAATGTCTAGAACCCAGACAACACGCAGTGTCTATTCAGTGAATTAATACAAGAAAGAATTTATGAAACCTTGTAAATTGTACGAGTGTTATGGAAAATCTTGGAAAATCCTGGACTGGATCACTGACGGAAGAACCAAGCAGCACTCGGAGGTCTTGGAGTGTTGAGGTTTATTTTACACCAGCGGGCTCAGAGGGGAGTAATCTCCCAAGGTCTGAGCCCCAAACAAAGGCAAGGAGCAATATATATCTTTCTGCTTCCATATCTGCAATATTTCTATGTGCACAGCAAGCAAGCAAGGGGGAGTGAGTTTAGGGAGTGAGTGCCTGGCAGTGGGGGAATCAAGGGAGTGTTCTGCTGTTTTTGCTGAGAAGCAGAAGGGAGCCACCTGAACTAGATTGCTGTCCTTGTAAATTTTTCCCTATCAGGAGAGAATATTAGGAATTGGGAGAAAGGTTTAGCAAAGGTGGAGAATATAAGAATTCTGAAAAAAAGAAATGTAAGAATTATTGTCCATTTCCTTTGGCTATATTTTTCTCTAGGGTTATTTTTATTTTTGTCATTGATTTGTAGGATATTAAATATATGTGTACAAATGCATACATGTATACTAATCTTGTTTATGTTGAAAATATTATATCTTCCCCAAGTATTTCTTGTATTTTCTTCTTTTAGGTTTGATGTCTGTGTAGTATTTTTGATGTCAAATTTACTTCACAGAAGTGGGTATTTTTGTATAATGCTTGAAAAATCTTTTCCTGCTTTAATATCATATGGACAATCTTTTATTTTCTTCTTCTTTTGTCTGTTTTTCATGGAAAGAGTTTCAATACACTGGGAATTTATCTTTGTGTCTTTTATGATGCAGTAATTTTATTTTATTTTTTCCACATGGGGAGCTGAAGGTCTTTTGTTTACAGTGCATTGACCATAATTATTAGTCCATTACCACCCCCAACTTCAAAGGTGTGGGGAATTGTAATCTCCTATGTACCCAGTGAAAAAGGAGAGCTGGATATTGGTAAACATTCTTATTGTATATCATACCACATAGTGACTCATCTTTTCTTTTGATAGGTGATGTCACTTCTGAAAGATGGTCACTTTCCAATTTGTATTTATGGACCCATACTTTATAACCTTCTTTTTCAATAAGAAAATACATAACACTTACTATGATCCCAAATAATGTAAGTGAAATTCTGTTCTCTGGTAATGATTCTGTAGATAAAACAACGTCATCTTTGTAAGAGATTTTTATCTGGATTTCAAAAATTAACAGGAATACAAAGGCTTAGAATCTAATCATACACAAATGACACAATATTCTAAATGTCATTTTGGCAAGACTGATCAATAGCATGGGTGGGGACAAGCACTGCCCACTTATAGCCCTTTGACCTGGAATAACCATGTGTCTACGCGGCCCCCTGCTTCAGGCAGTATGCTGGGTGTATGATATGTTGATGGCCTGGGGCTGGCCAAACCCAGGCCCACCTTACTGATGTAAACATCTTATTGGGAGGCAGACCCCTCTGACCAAGGTTTTATTCCATGGGGCAGTAGTCACAGAGAATGATCCCTCCTAGCAAAGCACATAGTCTTTGTCCCCTCACTCGTGGCACACGTAGTCTTGACTCCTCACCCCATATAAGCAGTTCCCTCCCAGTCCACAAAGCGGTGCACAACCTGGTCCATCTGGCTGATCCCAGATTCCTTGCACGTAAGTCCCAATAAACCCTCATGTCTCATGGTGTCTCCAGGTCTTTCCTTCCGTCCCTCTAGCCCTTTCCCATCATGACTCACCCTTTTGGGTGTGCGATCAGGTTTGTGATCACACAGCACGAAATCTACATAGGCCCTTCAACTCAGCAATTATACTCCCATAAGCAATTTAAAGACAAAGCTTGTCTTTTCAAGAGAGTGAGTCTGTAAATAAATTGGAAACAATCTATAAGGTGTTAACAGTTGTTACCTCAGTATAGAATTTTCAAGAATTTTCAGTCTTGTTTTTACTTTTTTAAACTTTCCATATTTTTAAAAGTACATATATTCAGAAATATCTAAAAAATTACTTTTAATTTTCAAAATTCTCTATCCTCTCTTGGAAAATAAAACTGCATTTTATTGTGCATGAAAGCATAAACAACAACTTTTTTTCAAGAAAATATGGTTAAAAAATAAATAACATTGTATGTTTATTTTTGTCTTTGGATACTCTGAAAATTGAATGTTATAAATTCAATATAAATGTTAAGTCAAGAAGTTCATTCCTATTCTATTCTTTTGAGACAGACAAAATGTAAATGGTGTGACTACAAACTGGATTTCTGAAGTTCAAATGTAGATAATTATATATAAAGATAACAAGAATACCTATTAACATTTATTTAATGCTAAATACTGGCTAACACACTTTTTATGGATAACTCATTGATCCTTCATAACTATGCCAAGAGCTTAATCCTACTCTTAGACCAATTTTACAAATGAAAACAAAGATCTTCCTATGGTATCTCCACAAGGAGTGATTCCAGTTTTTAAATCTTAGTATTGACTAGAGTCTGCTCTATTAGACCAGAGCTCTATTTTCATTTAGTTTACTCTAAGTTTTAGATATTTTAAACAAATTTTTGTCAACAGACTATTTAATATAGTTAGTGATAATAATTTGTGTGACTGTTCTGTTGAGTAAGATAAAATAAAATAAATACATATCTAATTTTTCTGGGAGAAATAAAAATTTTGATTAAATCTATTTAGCTTATATACACAAAAATACATAATATGAAGAGGTGAGTAATACATGATATTTCAAATAATATGAAAGTAGTAAAAATATTGCTTTGGAGACCACACTGCTGTACACTCAGGAATAATGCAAAATAGAACAAACAACAGCAGCAGAACTCTAGGAAATAATTCCAAACGGGTGACAAAGAAATGCAGAAATTCTTACAAAATAATGATGACCATCTGAATTCCAATATCCAACCCTTCAAGTTATAATTCTCCAAAACTATCTAAAAAGTATCAGAGCACAAATATAACCCTGTGTAGTGCATACCCTCAGTAGAACAAGGAGAAAGACAATAGCACAAACTTCAATTTACATTTCAATTTACAAGAAGCAATAACACCCAGGAAAAACAGAATTGGCTCAGGAGGCCAAACCAGAGCAAACAAATGATCAGGAGATGGACCAAAATATGTGTCATTTGTCAAACGAACTACAACAAACTTCACCATAGTAAAAGAAAAATTAAGGAAGCTAATGATCCACCTAAACTTCTCTCCCACCTAAAACAGAATCACCCAGTCCAGGAAAATCCAAATAAGAATCCAGAAAAAGAAAACAAAAACAGACTGACAGTCAAATGAATTTGCTGAGAAGGAAACTGAAATAGCTGATTTTAGGTAGGGTGAAGGGTCTCTGAGATTAGGGGATCTTTTTATTGTTCTATGAAGCAAAGACATTCTCAAAGATTAGTGGGGGTTTATCTAAAGGATGCAGATAAAAGCTTGAAGAGGCTTCCATTGAAAAAATTTTTAAAAATCAATGATAAAAAAATTATGATTGATAGTAAAATATTGAATTCATACAAATCCATATGTATAGTACAAAAATGAAAAGAAGAAAAATAAAAATAAACCTATCCCCCAAACTGGAGGTAACCACTGTATTATCTTCTGACTCTAGAAATTGGAAATTGAAAGGATAGCATTGAAATTTTGACCCTGATTTCCAGAGAAAACTGTATTTCATTCACCTTTGATGAGTATTTTCAGAAACTGGACAGCAGGCAGTCACTGGGTGATGATCCTTGAGAGAAAGAAGTAAAACTCATGATTTCTCCAGTTTGCTGCCAGGAGGCAGTTTTTGAAAGGCAGGGCAGGACTTTGATGAAAAAATTGAAAAAGATGCGAAGAAATAGAGAGATGTCCTGTGTTCATGGATTGGAAGACCTAACATTGTTAAAAGATCTATACTACTCAAAGCCGATAGATGCAGTGTGATCCTTACCAAAATTTCAATGACATTTTTCACAGTAGAGGCAAAAAT